TGTTTTCATGGATCTTACAGGGTGGAAGGGAGACAAACGAGTGCTCCTACAGGAGAAGAACATGGTGAGGGCATTTGTGATAGACAGAATAATGGCCCTCCAAAGATGTGCACATCCTAATACCTGTAACCTATGAATATGTTACTTTACATGGCAAAAGAGACTTTGCCGATGTGATTAAGTTAAGGATCTTGACGTGGGGAGATTATATTGGATTATCCAAGTAGGCCCAGTGTAATCACAGGAAACTCTTTAAGAGGCAGGAAGGAAAATTAGCATCAGAGAAGATGTAATGATGGAAACAGAGGTCAAGTGGGAAGAGATTTGCAGGTGCCATGATGCTGGCTTTGGAAATAGAGGAATGAGGGTGGCCGCAAGGTGCCAGAAAAGGCAAGGAATCAAAATCTTCCTTATATGGAGGATTCAATTTAATAGTGTAAGAATGTATAACAATTTCAAAGAAATTGTTTGCCAGCTACTACTGGTGCATTAAAATTTTCTTAATGCATATATTAATAAATCTCATTTTGTTAAAGCCAATGGTGGAGGCTCTTTTCTCTAACAGTTTGAATTACTGTGTATACTGTGGTTCTTTTCCTGTGAATTTGCAGTAATTCTCTATTCTGGTGAGAATGCTAACAGGCAGTCTGTATTGTTAAAGTCTTACTCGGAACCCAAAATCCAGTGGTTTGATTTAAAGGTATAATATTTACTTATTTAAACTTTCCCGTTTTAATCAGTATTATTGACTTGACAAGGTGAATACGTATTACTACAATAAATACTTATCACAATAGGCTTTCAACATTTTCTCATTGCTGTCCATTTCTGACTTGGCAATAACCTTATATATGTGGCTATCTGTTTTCCACCAAGTGAAACAACTGTTTTCTAACTTACTAAAGGAGGAATCTATTGTTTAGCTAGTTTGGGGTTAAAAAAAAAAAAAAGTCTCATTCATATAGCCCAGGGTAATTGCTCCTCTCCCTGAAAGTCACCTTTATTGAGGATACTTAGGAAGAGAGGATGGGAGTACATACCACTCGTTCCCAAACTCTCTCTGTGACCAGAGTCTTCATTCGGGTTTCCCCTTCCTCTGCTGTGGGCTGCTGCTCTCTTTGCTGCGGTGCCACTGGTGGCAGCCTGAACACATGGGCTGCTTTCCCCCATGGGTGCTGTTTCCTCTACAAGCACCTTCCTGGAGTAGTGGAGAAAATGTAGGGCTGGCCTCCCCCCAGCCCCCAGGTAGCTCATTCCCTTCTTATCCCCAGATGCCATTATAGTTAGGTATACAGGTATATTCTATTTCCTTGAGAATTATAGAAAATTAAAGGGAGAAAATATTTTAAACTATTTGCAAAAAAAGTATATTTTTGTATCACTTCAGGCAGATTTCTCTCAAAGTAGGGGTGTATGACATAATAGATAACTTTTCAACTTTAGTAGTAATATGTTTAGGTGTATTAAAGAAATATTTAAGAAGCAGGTCAAATCAATGGTTTTATGGTTACTATTGTATATAATGAAACAAGTAAAAATTAGGGTATCCCGATTTAAAGTCAATTAAGGACATTTCATAGTTCATGGTATGTGGATGTGGCAGCATTTACAAGGGGGACATGAAAGTTATTGAAGTTCGTGAAATGCAGATTTAAGCACAGAGCACCCAGGACATTTAAACTATCACAGTGGAGTCTGTCCTTTTGGGTTATTATGTTTACACTTGAGTTCCTGACTCAGAAAAAAGTTTCCTTTTTCTACTCTGAGAATCTCTATCACTCAGAAAATAAAAACCATTTTTTGTCTATAGGTCTCACCCGGAATTCATACCTTCCTTTGCATTTACTAGGCTGGGTTATTTAATGTCCCTTGGGCTACTGTGAGACAGCTGGTTTTGGCCTTTGGCACTCTGGGTCCCACAGAGGAGCACAA